TAGCCCACTGTACTGATACAGACCACGGTGAGTGTTAATTGTAAGAAGGCACCGTGCGTCATCATCGACTACCACTTGAAGATAGGCATCCGAGATATCAATCTTTGAGAAAATGAGGTTCCCGTTGTGTATGCGAAAAGATCCTCCGGTAGTGGCAGCAGGTATTGATGGAGAATCAGTGCTGCATTCAGGCCGGTTAAATAATCTCCACATAGGCGAATGGTTCCATCTGCCTTTTTCACTACCACTATGGGCGCTGCCCAGTCTGAATATTCCAATTTAGAAACCACCCGTGATTACTCCAAGCGATCTAGGCGGGGCCATTGAATTCGGCCGTCGCTGTTGTCATTGGAATATTATATTAAACGACTCAATGAGGATCTTCCATGTTCTCAGAAATTATTTCACCCTTTGTTTATGTGAACCAATTCTACCGTCACCAATGTTGTCATACTCTGTTGGTGATTTGGTTTACCTTCAAAAGAATGGGCGAAGATCGTTTCTAGTTGAGTACGATCACAAAATCAGAAATAGTTTCGAAATAATTGCCAAGAAAAGTGCAGGAAAAATGAAAAGCGTGCTGGATGGAAAGTAAGACTCAAGTGCTGTCCCGTAAACAACGCACAAATTCCGCTTATCCTGTCCAGCAATACATGATCACTTCTCGGGAAAACTGATGATCTCGCGAACATTTCGCATCGAAGAGAATTTATGAATACAAGAATAATGGAGGTAAGTAAGTTGGTTGTATTCTGATACCGATGAGGAAGCCGTTAATCCAAATGGTTACCGCTACATTAGATATGACCAACCAGGAGAGTTCCATCATTCCGAAGATGTCGTCATCTACATTAGTGAAGATCTGCGTAAATCAGTTTCAAAACTCTCGGAGCACCCAACAACCTCGGTAAGCTGTCATCGATTGGAATGCAAACTGTTTTCTTGGCGGGTTTCCTAACTGTCGTGCTTGGGAGAGCACATGCAGCTCCGGATACAGCGCTGTTCGATCTGTAAAAGTTTGCAAATCATCTTGCGTTGGAGTTGACACCAGAGCTAGGATGTTTTGTCTGTGTTCCCGCCTGCGACTTCAATAGGAGTGACACAGTTTTCGGTAGCTCAGCTAATTTGGTGAAAATGCCCACCAGACTCTATGCGCATCTGAATGTGGTTTTTACGAACAAACTAGACGGATGAGTTATAGAGATTTGGATGTAGTTCGTTGCAAGCCCCTTTCAGGCAGACAGGCTCCTATGCATCTGGGAGAGCACCAGATGGCCGTCTCGAGCATCGGGGTCCCGTCATTGTTGCGTATGCCTAGGATCCTTCCTGGGTTCCGACCCCATGACTTCCGGATAGCAGCAGCTTGTGGCACTAAGCCATGGATGACGGCGGCCGGCCTGTATGACTGACAGTTGAGTAGGATAGAGCGCGGCTTTGGAGCTAACCAATGTCCTCTGCACAGCTCGGAACTGGCATGGTAGTGAAGAATGAGCCACCTGACTGAGAGGGGGTACTGCAACGAACTACATCTAAAAACCTGCTTTCGACACAAAAGCGTGCACCTCGTGGTAAATACGAACATTGCATAAGAAAGCTATATCCGAACTTATGCACTAACGCCAACTATGTTGCGCTGACAAAAAGACCATTCTGAATTGTTATTCGACAGAAGTGACGCAGCCCACTAACATAAGTGCTTCAAAATGAACCCACGACGAGTAATTAACCATTGTGTCAAGTATTGCTCGCGATTCGCTGGCTTGAAAACGGCTGGCAGTCCCAATGTTCGGGCTTGAGTCGCAGTCCTGTTATCTCTCTGCAAGTGACGGGTGCACGCGAGTACAACACCTGTCGTTGAGCGCAGTGCGCTGCGAATGGCTAGACGTCTAACGTCCCTGGTAACATAATCGGAAGTGCAAACAAACAAAGCGATGTGGAAAGGTGGAACTTTTAAGAGGACCTGCATTTCTTCAAAAAAGATAAAGGAGGATACATCATTCATGACAAAACTAGTCTACTTAACGTTTTTGGCATTTTCGATCAGCTGTGGTTCCATTTTGCTTTAGGACTTTTCTCATGCTGCATGCTTTGAATTCATAATCTGCCGTTTCGTGGTGCATGTAACTTTCGAGAAAAGCTGGCCGACTTGACATGCTTTAATACTGCAAAATATACCCCGTATTGAGGTTGGATTCATGTTCCACCTTTTTGTCGCTCGTCTCATCAGTCTATACGAGGGGGAAAACAATACTAGCCAGCAATGTTGTTGATGTAGGCCAAGTAAGATTGTTGGGATTTAGGACACGCTAGGCCCAAACAATCGGTGAACGGACAACTGGTTAGTTCGATGGAGTAGCAAAGAGAATTGCGGTGAAGAGTGAAGCAGCGATGTGACAGCGCGAGCCCTGACGGTTTACGAGTGTACGTTTGGTTATTTCCATGCTTCCCTGTCATGCCTCTGGAACTTCGAACTTGACTTCCCACAGAGTGATTGCCTGTAGCAATCTATTTACTGGATACCATCCTCGTAATAACTCCAACTCCAACCGCTCACAAAGTAGCTGTTTTGTCCTGCAGCTATACAGATCCATTGTGACCTGTTGTGCACATTGGGTATGGGTGAACTCGGATTATTGGACCGGGCGTATATAGTTCCTCTGTCCTAACGGCTTGACTTCTTGATTCAGATACTACTTCATTTGACTGGCGAAGTTCTGTTATTCTGCTGTATATTCTGTGTCCATTTTCCGCATTTATTCTCCATCAAATTCTGTTGGCTGTTTGAGGTTCCCGGTATGGCTGTATTTGATGTGAATGCAGACCAGGTGTCTATTTGTCTAACACCTTCCACTTCGATTAACCGTGAACCGTGAACCGTTGCTGGGGGGACGAGATACACGATCCTGGTGTCACGCTAGGCACAAAGAGTGGCTCCATCCAGTGTGTAACGGGCTAGGGCCCTGCCATCTCCTTGTGTACGTCTGGTACGCATGATTCTCTACAAATATAGACATGAATGCAGTTGCTGTGCAGTTTGAAGGAGTGTGGGTCGGCTCCGTTGATGAAACGTGGCACCCAATCACAGGCCTCCCGGTGTATGCTTTCGGGTTTACACCGGATATATGGTGTGTGGACGGAGCTGTGGGTGGTGCAGCGCAAGCCACCCATGATCCCAGAGTAGGCGCAGGCGTTTTGTGGCTGTTCTATGGAGGCCGCAGTGACAGGCAAATCGGTAACAGGAAGCCGCCAATCATGGCTAAACATTAGAAACTCGATGTAATTATGACGACTGATGTAGTGAAAACACCGTGTTGAATAGTCTAAGACTGTCTACGTAACTGATCCGCGAGCCCAGCGGCCATCCTACAGATTATGTCCTTACATTTAACACCCCAAATCGTGTGAAAAATCGCATTATGCACCCCGCACGCTGGACAATATCAGGTAAAATAACTTGGCTTGAGTGACTAACATTGAGAAAAGCATTATCGAGACATTGAGCCGCCACTTCTTGTGTATGTGGTGAATGGTTACAGAAGTCCACAGTAACTATCTATCTATATTTGATCAGACCGCTGGTAAATTTAAGTTCGTCCGTGGAGGTGGTGATCATCAGTCTAACAGCCGCACAGTCCTCAGTGGAACAACAAATAATGGTCAGGGAAAGTACTGAGTAGGTAATGCACATTCCCGATAGCTTGGGTTCTGGAACGCCTCCCTAGGCATAGTACTGAACTGTTCGCCGATCACGTGATGGGGGTATGCAAACTGAGTGGTGAGATGGATCTACAGGACGAAGCGAAAAGCCAAGTGGATGCGAAAAGTGAAGAGAGTTGGTGTTTTGACACACCAGATTCGCCAAGTCGTCTACATAGCTCCGCCAATTAAATCAAAGAATATTGGGGGTGGCACAAGGTCGCTCGAGATGGTATGGGCACAGCCATATATATCAAGACAATTTACGGACCAACTATGCCGTCATTGTCCTTGACCTGCTGAATAAAAGTCTGTCACGGGATGATCGATTTTGGTTGCAGAGCTGGTACATGTTCAGGTAAAGAAAATGATTGGCACATCGTTAGGTCGCCGTCTTTCTCGAGAGAAGACAGCCCAAGAATCACATTTCATCCAACTTGATACAGGTGGTAATGTCACACAAGTATTCGGAAACTTGTCACTTGCTATTGACGTTTTGACTCGGTTAGTATTACGTGTCGTCGTTCTGACCACGTTTCGTTGTATTTGTAGTTGCACTTTTCCGAAATTTCCGTATCATAATCACTTTTATTACTATGGAAATGGGAGAAATAAAAAGCTGATCCGCTGCAGACCGATGCCCTTCATGGCGGTTGAGAATATCTAAACAGGTCCGTGATTTGATACTGATCTTGGAGAGTTTTCGGTGCTTGTCGCTTTGGTTGCGATGCTGATGATACAACCATATCCTCGACCTCGACATGTGTAATGATTTATACAAAAAATAAACTCGAAAAGGAAGCGTTAGGACGTTGCTCACTCTAGTGTACTCCCAAATACATTTGCGGGACATTTTCACCCGTTTCAACTTGAAGAAATGAAACATCGAATGTTTTGTAGTTGATCGATTGTCCAAGTGGCCAAGTCCTGAGCGTGAAGACCTAGGTGAAAGTGTTGGATATAATAAACGATTGTTGGGGCAATAGGAAAGTAGGGCACCGGTAGGAAGGGAAAAGTTTCAAAAGACCAGTGAAAAACATCAAATCCACACCACGGTGGAAGAGCGTTTTACAACAGCTCAATTACAAATCATTAAGTTGTACGTTAGACTGCTACTGGAAAAACAACACAGAGGTAGCCTGTAGGGACCAGTATGTGACCTGTGAACTAATTTAACCAAAAAATGGAGATAAAACGTTGTCAGTCAAATAACCACATGCTATGAAAACGTCAACACACGAATAGTTAGCCCCCGATACTGGCGCATCAACTCATTCTAACGCAGACTACAACAAAGAGCTTACTTGGCCGTTCAAATAGAGCAGATCGAAGACAAACAAGCAGGGTTGATAGTCGACGCTTTCCTCGGTCAGTTTGGTGAAGAGGTCATCGGAACGATATGGGCGTTTCACATCGAATCCAGAGGTTTTGGGAGCAATGGTTCGATGGCACTTATCGAAGGCCATCATCTCCCCGTCGATGATACAATCGTGCACATCAGCGCTGAAAGCAGCATGCAACCGGGGAGTTAAGGTTCCCGTGGAGCACAATCCATCAGGGCCGTAGCTGCGCGTCCATTCCAGGCAATTTCGAGACCAGTAGCGATAAGAAGCGCCAGATTTATGCATCTAAAAAGTGACAGTGCAATATTTTATGAAGTTTCCGGGGTTTTTTAACCAATGACGATGAAGTGGGAATAAGGCCTGGGAAGGCGTTAAGAATAAACGTACCGATGTGTGAATGCGGACGCCATTAATAAACGGGAGAAAAATCGTCCATTTGGAATGTAAGCATAGCGAGTCGCAAAAACTGACTGAAAACCTGCGCACAGCTCGAAGAGAGAAAAGCGTGTGGGTAAGCAAATGATGACCATCAGGTCGAGAAAAACAACGCAGCTAGAAATGTTCTATATAAGAGAGCGGCAAGGAGATTTCATAGGTTTACACTGGACTCGTCACAACCGGTTCCAGTTGGATGGTTGGCAATACATCCAGAGGCTTATTGAGAATCGTCAGCAGTGTGTACCATGTCTGTTCACTTTGGGAGTAGAACCTTACTTGTGCGATTCCGTAGTTAATGCTACTGGGTCATGGGAGACACTAATGACCGATGTGATCCAGTGTGATTCCCTATCCCCTGACCTGCTCATTAAATTTGTGGCAGTAACAGATTGACTTTCAGGAGGACACTTATACAACCTATGACAATATAGGGTAATAATTCTAAGGGAGTAGCAAGGGGTGAGCGGTATACATTGAATTCATCGATCCAAGAGTTATCAGCATCCGGAGAAACATGAAACGCTGGATTCAGTTTTCCGAGAAACTCGTTAGAATCGCATTGTCCGTCAGCCCGATGAGATACGAAATGACCGATCAGCGCTTTGCTAGAGGTTGAAAAGTATCTGAAAAAGAGTTCAGCATAACTAACCATATATTCGAAAGTGAAGAAGAGAATTCGTCGTCCTTATGGAGAAAAATTTCACTAAATATAAAAAAGCTCCAATTCAACACAAAATAACACCAATTGTGCTCTCATTCAATTAGGCTGATGAAACTTGTACGTCAAAAGTAAAACGTAGCACGGTAGGTAAACCAACCGACTGTTTATAAACCCTTAAGGAAATATGAATTATCGATTATCGTTTAAATTGGACGAAATCTCTCAGCTGTATAAACTAGTAGGCGGGTGCAAAGTGATAAATATCAACGGTGTGCCGAAATTCTTCTCGCGAGGGGTCGACCAAATTACCCGCATCGTATTGAACGGAATTCGCCAAGCTACAAGCCAATCGGAACGCTGCTTCGAAATTAAATGTGCATTGCGGTCTGGTGGTATCCAGTAGACAGAAGTGAATCGCGCTCCTCCTTTTGTCCAATCAGAGGGCTCACGGCTCAGTTAGCCTGAGTAAATGATGCAAATGAGGTCCAGCGGTTTTCCGGATGTTTAATTGGGTAGAGTTGTGACGAATTCTATTGGAATTCATCCAATCTGTCATTATTACTAACACAAAGAGTGAATCTATCTGAGCCAGTGACGGTGGAAAGTGTGCAAGGTCACCAGAGAGCGGATGTGGGACACACGTAGTGAGAGCTGGGACATTTGAGAAAGGCAGAGACCACTGGGAGAAACTCAAAGGACAAGTCAGGAAATGATCAGTGATAGTAGTAGACGTAAGATACGCTATTGCGTAGTCAAAACAGCCTGGGCAACGATCGGCGATTTGTAAAGCAAAGCATTATTTATGCTGCACATAAGTGAAAGGAGCTATTTAGTCGCAACGTCTTCACATCGGTTCCTATCCATTTTCCTCGGTCTGTCCGGGTACACTGGTCCGTACGTGGTGATCGCTTCAATCGACTTCTGCCCTAACTGCGTTATCCGCCTCGAGTCATGCTTAGAGGCGTCAACTCAGTTATTTTTCCCTGAGCAGCGTTCGTGGCCACTCCACCAGATCCGCCTAACCGCCTTTCATGGCAAAGCTGCGCTGTGTTTCTTTCTACGTTGAGCTGACCGTATTTTCTCTCTCGGGATCGTCCACGCACGACCAGTTTGCGTCGGTAGCTATTGATGGGTCACCTACTGGCCTACAACCCGTTGATCAGCTGCAATTGAAAGACCAGATGCTGTCTCAACTCTTTTTTCATTTCTTTCGTTGGGCCGGTAATGTCATGTGTTCAGGATGGCTTAGCACTATGTGTGATCTTCAAGTTCTGTGCTGCAGTGACAAGCGTCAGTCCCGCTGATGCTGTTGTACCTCCTGTCGCAGCATTCACTAAATAGATATTAGTAACAGCCACATTTTTGTTCAACGGTACACTCAAACGTTGTGCGCAACTTCTATCAAAACGAAGTGAATAGACGGTTGAAATGCTAACAACAGGAAGGTAAAAGGACAAAGGTAAAATGCGAGCAAACGAGCGACTACCTAAGGGGCACATGTCAATAGCTAGTCGACAAAATGTGTCAAAAAGACGTGCGGGTAGGAATATCGGAGTGAGTCAGTAGAATGATGAAACACAGAGGCGAGTTGGAGACGATAGTTAGGGCAATGTATAACAGAGCACCAGCATACGGAAATGCAGGAAAGGCTTCAGGAACGGTGCAGTGCTAGACACTTAAACAGAGTTCAGTAGGGAACTATACACTAGACAACGTTTGAAATGTCAGGCGTACATACGGTAGAAGTGTTTGGCTGACTAGCGGGTTACTGTGTTGGCATACAGAGCTAAGCGATAGCTTTTCCTCTTAGCAAAAATGCGAAGAAAGAGGATGAACGGCGAAACGATCATCGGTCGAAAAAAGCGCGCACCGTCCACTCGAAGTGAAGCCAGGTGACGTAGTGCAAACGCAAACACTGATGCAAAAAGACTGGTAAGAGTGACGAAAACAAAAGGATCAAAAGTATAAATATCGGCTGATCAATAAAACTGACAAAGGCTGATTATTGTCAGTGGATATCATTCCCATCCGAGAAAAGGCAGGAAAAACCGGCAAACTGGGCATCAGTTCCGAACACTGAACACATTCGATAAAAAATGTAAAAATAAATCAAGGTGGATGCGAAATACACTTACCTGTACTCGCTCCCCATCGTATTTCGTCTCCAGTAACAGGCGTACGTCACTGATATCGTCCATAGCAAGGCTGCACAGTTGTTGCACGCGGGTGCACAAAGATTCGGGACAGTTCGAACGTTCGCACAACATCGGACGAAACGGAACAAACAAGCTCACCGCGGGAACAACAGGGCTTGGAGGGCAGGACACCTTGGGATCGATCTCCGCGATACGCTGACACAAAATTAGCAAGTCCTGCCAAGTGAAACGGAGATTTTCGAAGAATCCAATGGGGTTAAAGTGAAGAATTCAGCGTACAGCTAGATAATCTAACTGGATACACACTGTGTAGAATGTAACAAGTGAGAAAATAGAAGCAGAAATGCGATTTTGTTGAGCATTCTTATCAAATGCTGAGAAGTATAAGGTACAAAAAGTGTAACTACAGACTTTGAAAAAACTTGCTTCAAATCGGATAAGCCCAGGTAGTCGGAGGCACCTCGGGAGCGTTAACGTAACTGTATGAACGATGAAATACGTGCAACATTCTCAGACATCGGGTGAGATAAGGCTAAATTAGTTCGATAAAAACTTAAGTAGTTAGCCACGAGTTAAATGTCACCCAACCGGTTATTGATGGAGAGAGCTACCGAATCGTGATAGCTTATACTATTTCTCAATTGATCGCATCCTTAACGCAATCGCCTTCATCCGCATTGTAGCATCTTGCATCCTTGGCACAAAAGCTTTAATCCGATAGTCATGAAAATTGCATCCACGACGCCCTGAGTGATCATACGCTGTCAGTCAACGACATTCGCGCAATATGCCGGTATGGCTGTCTAAGCTAGACGCAGCTGGGGTACAGAGCCATCGATGTATGCGTTTCATAGGGATCTCAGCCATCCACTGGCTAGATGCGCACGAGTATTGGACAAGTGGGGTGAAAGCAGGGGTTTGCTCACGAACTGGCTCCAATCCCCTAAGCTTGGGATGTGAAGGTAAGGTAAAGTCACCACAGTCGCGAATGGACGCAGATGTGACAATGATCATGTCCGGAACACGGGGTCATGCCTCCTGGCTTGGTCGAGCACGTTGTGAATGACGTGAAAACGGTCTCACAGAGAGCTTGAATGAGCAAAGGAGATGTCGGTTTGAGACGAGGGGACAGGTGATGCACGGATGTCCACAGAGTCAACAATGCTACCACACGTTTACTACTAAGTCAACATTGTTCACTCTGGTCACCCGTGCCACAAATGTCGCTCGCCTCAGACAGACATCTCGTTTGTTCGTTCAAGTTCTCTTTATGAGACCATGGCTCGATCAAGCCAGGGGGCGTGACCCAGTGTTCCGGACATGTCCACTGCCACGTCTGCGTCCAACCCCAACTGTGGTGACTTCATCTTACCTTCATATCCCAAACTTCGGGGTTTGGAGACAGATCGTGAGCAAGCCCATGCTTCCGCCCCCCTTATTGTCCAATACTGGTGCGCACCTAGCGAGCAGATGGGTAAATTCCGTGTGAAAGGCATAGGCCGATAACTCTATGCCCCGACTGCGTCTAAGTCAGACAGCCATGCCGGCATATTGTCCGAATGTTATTGGCTGATAGCTACTGCCCACTCAGAGCGTCGTGGATGCAATTTTCGTGACTATCGGATTATAGTTTTTCTATTAAGGATGCAAGATGCTACACTACGGATGAAGACAATTAAGTTAAGGATCTAAACAACTGAGAAATGGTATAGAGAGTCAAGAACCTTTATCAGGCTTTAGTGGTGTTATGTGTGATTAAACCGCAAGGAGGAAAGCAGGGAATCTGCCAAGTGACAACAAGATAATCCAATGAGAGATGAAGTGAAAGACGTAACCAAGCCTATTAGCAGACGAGCAAAGGTGATTAGGCTTAGTCGTGATGCAGTTATCAATATCCGTGGGCCAAACATACATCAGAACACTAGAAACTAATGTAAACTCTTGTTGCGTTCTACAACCTTATAAGACAGAACATCGGTATATGAAAATCAAGTGTGTAGCTGACAAGATTACAAAGTGAAACCGTTTTAGATTCGGTCCTCTGATTACTGTTAGTAAGAATCTCGATCAAATATGAGATATTCCAGTAACAACCACTTGAGGATTAGTACCCAATGACTCAATCGACGTGAAGGTCGTTTTGGCTAGGAGTTATGCAAACGTTCAAAACTCTGATAATTTTCGCCATGGGACTCGGACCATATAATTGGTAAACCAATGATCAGCAGCTCACGTGCCCATGAACCATAATAAACCATCACTGGCCGACTGGTTGAATTGCGCATTGGTCACACTAAATGGTATTGGTTCTTTCCAGATCCTAGTGTTCATTTCGCGAAAGCAAAGTAAAAACAATGAACTGAGGCCAAGCATGTAATGATGTCACCTCTATACAGGATATTCTAGAGATGTGTCAGAGGCTGATGAGCGTATTTGAGTGAGTGGGTCCAGATTTACATGACCAAAATTTACTACACTGCTCGCCAAAAACGAGTAAAACCCAATGCGTTTACTAAATTCGGGTACCGAGATTGTACAGAGAGCAAAAACACGGCAAGAAAAGGATTCTTAACCTGTGTGACGTCCCACAATCCCGGGGCAGCCGGATGAAGACATCGAAGCACGCTATTCCCATTTAGACCGCAACCGGACTCTCTTCGCACTACCAGACGTACGATCCATTTGTGTTCCAGAGCAGTAGCCAAATGAATGAAACGATTCACAGCGTCCAAACGTTCCTGTGTTCCCTCAGCATTGGCCAGTCGGTCGAGCAATTGATTCACATCCTGCCAACGAAAAAAATAATCAACAGAAATGGCGAATGCGAGTATTTATTGGCTAACTCCAATAGAACGCGGTGCGAAAGGAGCGCGAAACGATGGGAACTCACATGCAGACAAAGGACACCGACGCACGGACATCGGTCATGCACCACGTCGTAAATGAGGTCGGCAAAATCGGACTTTTTGGGCTGACCACTATTATGCTCGAGTGGACGAAGAATCCGTTGGGCGATTGGGCCTTTTGGGGCGATCCCGAATGCTTTAATGTACAAACGACCCAACATAACTTCTCTCAGACCATAAGCCGGCCGGGCGTGATCAAACAATGGCATCAGTATCCTTAGTAATGGGTAAAAACTAGCTCGACCGGCACCGACGCGTGTGTCTGCACAGGGAAGTAGCGCATATTGCGAATTCCAAAGTTGGACAAAACGGTGGAGCACATCGCATCTAGACTTGGTGTTTGGTTTGGATTTGAGTTTCTCTAAAAGGCGACAACACGTAGTAAAAGTGACTTGTTGTGACATGCGGTCTCCCTCGGCTACGACATCCATGGTGGGAAAACGAGGGGTTTTCAGTGACGATGAAATATCCGACCGTTTGCATACGAACGGAGGGCAGAAGCGAAAGCATCAAGATCCGATAGCCCCTCAGAAAACACCTAGACAAGTATTATAAAACGAAATAGAATGACAAATAAAACGGAGAAAAAGTGGCGGTACAGAGATTGACTGCAGAAAACACGAACAATGAAGAGTGGATTAGGCTTGAGTGGTCTGCAATGTGTAGAGTAAACCCAAAAATTGCGCCCCCGACGGCTGAGAGCTGGTTTGTTCGAGCAGCCGACACTCTCAAGCTGGATGCGTTTGATCATTACCAATTCCGAAGTTAATACAAAAGCACAGGGACACCGAGGAATCACGGTGAGGCCACTCTTATCGCTTCAATAAACCAAAGCCCAACTGGTCGCCGGCTTCAATAAATTCGTATCGGGTGAGAGGCCAATTCGAGCAACTGCTTAGCAGACTAGCTCAACTCACATTATCCGTAACTTCTGAAACCGAGTGGAATATGCGGCAAAGCTATTGGCGACGCACTCAAGATAAAAGTGCTAACCTTGAAGATGGCGTGATACATCATCACCACTCGAATTGGAGTCATCGTCGGGCGCGGCCAAGAACATGGATGATTAGGGGACTGACTGCAGAAATCGCGTCCACCTTGCCCTAAATTACTTACTTCTGCCTACAATCGGTGATCCTGGGCCGATTGTCGTAAAACTGGTATAGTCCTTAATTGCGACAATTGATGCCCGGTGGTAGAGTAGCCAAGCACGGAGTTTAGGTCATGTGCATTGACAAATTGCTGACCGAAAGAGTACATCAGTTTTAATTACGAGCTGAAAAAGTTAGTGGTAGGTGCGAGACACTCCGGGCTCAAGCAATGCAATACAAATTAAGCTCTGCGCAGTCCGGTTAATAGGGGAACAGCGAATAGATGAAGAATAAAATGGTGGGCCAGGAGCATCCTAACCTGTTCAATAGTCATCCACCCAAAGAACAACGGACCACAGTTCTGTTCATACTAAACCATCCAGCCAGCTGATTCGTTTAAAGTTCAAGGCATGTACAAGCAAAAGGGCTTCAAGCTGACTCAATTCACAAATTCCAAAGGCTAAGATGTAACCCACTATTCTAACCCCCTGCTGTCACTCGGCTGCACTGAATCATTTAGATGGCGGATGACGGATATTCCACTTTTAGCGATTCCGATCGAAATGATCTTGATAAATGCAAGTTCCCATGGAAGATTGCAATCTGTCAAAATCAAAATCTAACAGGATTGACGAAAACGTGTTGCAGTCAAACTACCGAAAAAGAGCAAGTAGTCTGAAGTTATCACAATTAGATTTCGACCTAAGAAAGCTCAGCTCCCGGAACAGTTAGGCTAGACGCCAAATAGGGTTAAGAGTGTTTCAACCAATGAGGTGGGTGTGCGCAGCGTGTGACGGACTTGAGTTCTCGTGAAACCAGCTGATGCTTTCTCTGAACAATGTTAATTCAAATCGTTTCCAATGAAACAATGGATATTACGGGAAGATATTATTCCCTCTCGTACAGCGCCAGGTCCTGTTGAGCAGGGGTTACGGGCAGCGCAACATAAGTGTAAAAAACCACTTAGCTGATAACAGTGATAGCATTTTCAAGTCGAACCTAACTAGGGGCTGAATCACACCAGCAAAAGGTACGCTTTTCTGCACTCCCCCTATTAAATAAAGAGCAATATTTAAATGTGCAGATTTGAGCAGTAGACGCTTGATAGCCCTGCATGGGGGCAAAACCCCACCGGACCGCAACATTCGGATATGCTTTTCATTAACGAGACCGTGGAGAATGAGGAAGTTGGAGTTAGTTCACTGGTGGCTCAACGAAACAGAGCATGCCTTATGAAAACACTACGCTGTGTGAATCAGGCCACTGGTCTTGAACAACAGTGCCGTGGTAGGACAGTAAACAGTCATTAATATCTGCTTGTCATCAAGTAACAGGTGGTAATGTAACAGCACATTCCAGATTGAAAGCTCAAAGCGCATATCGAGGAATAGAGCCACCACAGAAGTAGTACCCAGCAAGGATTGTGCTCCTTGCGGTCCTCAAGCAGTAAGAATATGTCAGCGATATGATCCAAGTCAACAAGTTCCCTAGAACTGCCAATAAAAGTTTACATTGCGAGATCCAACCCAGGGGCTCTCAGAGATAAAGTCCTATGTGAAACTCAATGCAACCGGAAAAATTGGACAATCCTGGTAGACGCCAATTGCTATGGCAGACAACACTCCCTCTTCATGTTTTCTCCTATCCTAACTTTCCTCTTCCCGTATTTTGAGCAAGAGAACGCCGATGACCTCGCAGCTGGTACCATCGATACATTTCGCTCTTTCATCCAGCCAAGTCTCATTTCCCATGGGCCAAGAGGCAGCACCAACTCGCAATCTTCACTCTCGTGGCTTTCAAATTCGGCCGTCGATGTTCTCGTTGGAAAATCATTTTGCACTACCGAGTGTGGATTTGATATTTTATTTGTCTTTGAGACAATTGGTTTTACTGAACTAGTACCGGGGTCAATTATGGCCTACTCTGTCGATCTAGTGAAAATTTTATAAGTCACTGATCTAAATTCGCACTTCATTGAATATGGTCAGAAAATTAGGAATACCTTTAGACGAATTATGAAGAAACAACTTGGAAAAAAGAACAGCAATATGTTAACATTTCGATTTTTCTCTTCAGTCACAAACACAATACGAGTAGAAACACACAAGACTATATAGAGGGAAAAATAAGCAACAACATTAAGGCCCATCAACCTGTGCTATGTACACAGAAACTCTTGAGGCAATCAATTCGGTTGCCTTGGTCTTGACTGACAATTTGATTGGTGTTGCTTATTTTTCCATGTATATAATCGTCTGTGCATTTCTGCTCGCATTGTGTTTGCGACTGAAGAGAACAAGCGAAATGTTGACATATCGCAACCTATGCAATTTTCCTTCCTTGACGAAATGGTTGAAGAGGATCCACTATTGTACCAATCTTGGAAAAAAGGGAAAGCATCGGGCTAGTTGGCAATATGGCATCGGTCGTTGTTCTGTGGATAAAACGCAAGTACCACTGATACTTGCCAGCAATGTGCGGTTGCTTCTTGGCGAAATCGGTGATCTCAGTGATATTATGCAGCGAAATGAGCATGTAAATACGGGAAACATTCCGTTACAAGAAAGTTGGCTGCATAGTGATGTGGAAAACGCGATTAGTCAACTCAACGGTTATTTCCCAATCAGGTCTGACCGCCCAGTTTCGTGGTGGTGGCTTTATAACTTACGTTGGTGACATCTATAAGTTGCCACTTAACTAAAAGCAAGCCGAAGGTTTTATGTGGATTTTAATCGGTCCTCGCTGGAAACATCCGTATAGCTCCTGACACATCTGCGGTAGAGTTGAAGCCTTTGAGAACCAAGTTTCGTGGATAATATTGCGGAAATAAGATAGTGCTGTCTGTATTGTTGTTGGCGACTTTAATGGAAAGGATACAACGTCCCTGAAGACGGCGTGGTAGATCTAGTGACCTTTTCGACCAGACAAGATAATCAGATGGACGCTGTATACACAAACGGTAGTTGTTTTCCATAGAAAAACAGGCTTCATTGAGCAGCTGAGATCACTGTTTTAAACTTGTACACAATCATATACAGTAGACCTAATTTTCTCACGCTGACGAGACGTCCTCACAAAATTAACAAACGGCGAAATTGCTCCTTTGAAATTTCATAAGGCTCTAATGTTTTGTTTAAATGATTTTCCAGTCTCCAGCGACGTAGACGTGTCGCTACAATGTGACCATCTTACAGACTACATTGAATATTGCTTTGACATATGTTAAGCTGTTGAAACGATTTACCTGAGGGTGGATAGATTTCAACACTACTGCCAAAGCAAGTTCGAAGGATGAAAAAACAGGTTTACAGGTGCAAGAGCCCAATCTCAGTAATTCGATCTGATAAAAAGGCTAGAGCACTTACACATTAAAGCGGTTCTAGGCAATCATAACTGCCGTGATCTATAAAGGCATTTGAGTCGGTTCCGTGGTAAGAACGCCTGCAACCAGAACGGTGAAGTGGATGTGCACAAAGTAAATTCTTAGTTAGGTTCTGCCTCACCGAGCTTACTCCCACGCCCTCCTTCATTAGCTCAAGCCCAGCTGTGCCTTTCGAGCAAATCAACGTTCATAAGGAACAAAGCTAGTAATCCGGATGCTCTCTCACCATTAGCTTTGAGCGTGCTGATTCTGACACACTATGAGAAATCTTTTTAGAAAAATGCCTCACTATGGGTGGGATCCCAGACGTTTGAACATCAGGCTCAAGAATCCCAGTATAGAAAAATGGGTCTCGAAAGTATCGAGCGATTGCGTGCACATCAGTGTTTCTGAAAGTTCTCGAAATTGTCAATTTTGGGGATTTTTACAACTACTCCTGCGGACGATATCTACCAGTGCATATGGCAATCAGCGCTCTACATTGGATGCAGCGGCACATATTGTTCATTCCATAGCGTTTGGATTAGACCCAAAAAATGTAAAGCCCTACGGCTTCTTTTCCTTGACTATTTGAATATCTGGAAGCCTGGATAGGTCAATGTTGCTTAACCTGCTAGCTGAAAATGGAGTTTACCCGAGTGCGTGTTATTAGTTGCATGACAAGTTAACGGATCGTAACTTCACTAAACGGTAAGAAATCCTCTGTTCTCCGTCCCGACTGTTGTGTTGTGCACATTATTTTCCCTATATGTTGAACGTCTCCATATACAAATTACATATAAAGTATGTAAAAATGCCGGTGATGTTGTGCTGGGATGTATGGTCCTCACTACTCAGGATTCCGCATCACTTCAACGTAGGTTGGAAGAGCTGGTCTTCATCCAGATATCTTACAGTTAAGGTTTCCGAATGCAGTGACGCAATATGTTCTTTTCTTCGTGGTGATAAGTTGCAGTCCCTCATATATTTTCATCCAATGTAACTGAGAACGAAAATCCTATGCCCAGATCATCCACGGGCAAGTATTTCGACGTCTTTTTGTCCCGGAACCTTGATTGGGCCATG